CTCTCTCTCTCTCTTTCCATCGTAACTATGCGGAGCAAAATCATCATATCTAGAAGATGCCAAGGGCTCGTCATCGAAACGAATGCAACAAATATAAAAATAGATAGAATAAGAGAGTCGACGGTTTAGCCTTTGCGCATTCCGTTGGGATTGAAAAAAACATGTTTACTTATTCTTTTGGTTTTTTTTTGTTTTTTTTTTGTGATTGACAGTACTATCTCGAACTTTGCAAGTTGTATGTAGAATGGTCAATGTCAAAAAGTACTAAATAGCATAGTTCAACAACATGCACATGTCGAAAGCTCTACAAATAAAAAAGAAAGGATATGATATATTCTATCGAAATAGGATCAGTATGTTTATTCGTTTACACAATTGGCTCAAATCGGTGGTAAGCAGAGGTTAATCAAGTGCACGTATGTTTATATCATACCAACACATGTTCACAATGTGAGAAAAAATCATTCTATTATTAGCATGTAAATTATCTTCTAATATTGACTTTTAATTTCTTATGTCTCAACTTTTATATATAGTTTTTCTATAAAGAAAAATTAGATTAAATATATAATGAAACTTTTATTTTCTCTTATTATTCATTCATTGAAGCATCATAATAGTGTTAGTTTGAGTTCTGCCTACACATAACACATTGATCTATAACTAATAGCCGAAAGAAAATACGCAACATCAAATGACACATCAAATACTGACGAAATAAACAATGTTTTATCCAATTAAATATATTCCAGATTTGCATGAGTCATGAATCTATATGACAAGAAAAACAAGTAGTTTACTAAGTACACCGAGGAATAATAAATGTACTATAACAAGATTTTTCATTTTCTATGATCATCATCTCAATTCAAAGCAAAAAAAAAACGACATGCTGGTCTTAATTGTGTCGTGAACATTAGTTCAATAACTAGATCACAATATATGAGATAGAGTTCGTAACTATTCTATTCGATATTACAAATCAAACAGAAATTGACAATATTCCTTTATCATTAGTATTCAATTCATATCGTTTTTTAAATGCCCAATACAATTATCATGTGAATAATTTACATCTATTCAATAATGGACAAGAGTTCATCATTTTCTTGTTGTTTTCTTTCTTTCTTTTTTTGTTTTTTTGTCTAAAATTGCCAAATTAGAAGCCATACAGAGTATACGAATTGCATCCGTCTGAATGATATGTTATCTCTGACTGTTTTTTCTTTTCTTCTATTTTGATTACTACATGAATTGTACAAGAAAAGAACAAACGCTTGTTAACTATCAATCAATCTATCATCGAACACTTGTTTTCTTTTATATATCTGTAAAGAAGAACATCGATCATCTTCTTCGTATTATTTTATTAACTAAATGAAAATGTCGATAAATGAATACTCATGACTAAGTACAACATCATTGTTTATTTGATGAACTTCTATAAATAACAAAGAAAAAAAAAGGAAAAAGAATGCAACCAATTCATCATTATTATTGATGATGATGATGATGATGATCATTTTTTCAATATTTATTTTTTCACTATCAGTTTTTGATTTAGTGCTTTTAATCATTAGAAAATAAACAAATAAATAATGATATTATTTTTCAAGAGATAAAACTATCTAAATTAACAATAACCAGAAAATAGTTCTAAATACGTAGAAATTTTTACAGAAATCTCAGGAGAATATGCGTTCAGAGAATTTCATTTTATGACCTTGGACATTTAATATACTATGATATATATATATGGAACTAAGGTTATTTCGTTTTTTTTCTTTTTCTTACATGTATATGAAAGTATAAAATCATTACTGTAATAGTAATTATCTGTATTATTACGTATTGATTCATCTTGAAAATAGTAAATAGCAATAAATACAGATACATTTTCAAGGATATATTTATAGATATTTGAATATTGAAATAATATCATGAATATGAGGTATACGAAAATAAAAAACAAGCTAAAGAATTTTCATGTCACAGGAAAAGACCTTGTGTTTTTAATTTAAAACATGCAAAAAAAAATCATTGTTAAATCAATCAATTCAATTGAATGTCTACGTGAGCAGTTTTCAGTTCCTTGTGCATTACAACTAAAGCTATTAGTATTATCAAAGATCGCCTTAATTATTAATTTTTTTGAGAATATGCTTATGCCTTCGAAAAAAGTTTCATGAGTGAAAATTTTTCAAACTTTATCGTCTAACGATATAAACATATAGAATTTAAATATAGATTTTAAAATATTTGTTAATGAGTTTAATCTATAATTAATGTTGATATGATTGATAATATCTTTTTCTTTGTCCGAATTTTCATTTATTTTGTTTTTCATTTGTGTTTCTATTGTCTTCTTGAGAAAGTAATTTATATCAAACATATTTTTATTTTCTTTCTTTTTTGTTTTTTTTTTGATTAATGATTTTTCTTTTGCTAATCAAACGAACATATAATTAAGAAGTTTGATTTACAATTGGATATATATTATCGATTTCAATGGATTCAAATTTCAAAAAACTTGATCCATTTTTATCTCTGATTGATTTCCACTTCTAACATGTTTTTGTATAGAACAAAAAAGATGTTAGTGCGTGCAATGCCCACGGGATTAAAATGTAAAATACAACATAGGGCTATTGATAATTATAGAGAGATTGTTCTATTGCATCTATTTTGGCACACATCACCGTTCTAGTTAATCCTTCAGGGCTGCAATAAGGAAGTAGTTAACATATTATGATGAGACTTTGTTTGGTGTACGATCTTTGATGGAGAGGTGAAACGTTGTTAAAGGTTCACATGATTTACTATATATCGATTATTTCGAAGAAGACAAATAAGTAGTGTGGGTGTGCATTTTCGTCTCAGCAACACCTTCATCGAGAGCCACACCCACACCTTAACCCGAACCCAGATATATACCCCTACTATTCATTTGATCATTTCTCTTCTTCGAAATAATCAACAGACAGTAAATCGTGCATATGATTACTAAGTCGTCTGCTACGATCTATGGAGGGCATTGAGTGTAGATTTCGATTCTATATACTGCAAAACTCCTTTTAGATTATGTTTCGCAAAAAGCTAATATGATTAGTTCATTACACAATAATCACATGAGAATATTTTATGGTTACTGAGTCATGTCGAAAAACTAAAATACGAATTTTTAAATTTGTTTGTTTTTTTTCTCTCTTTATACAAAATCATTTATTTCTGTTTATTTCTTTTAGACCAAAAAAAAAATCACATACATATATTTATATATCTTTTAGTAACACGCCTAGCACAGATGCGCATTTCACTTTGTTTGGTATTGTTTTTCTCTTTAATACGAAAGATTATGTAGACACGATAGAAAAAATAGTACAAAAGAAAAGCCAAGTATCAAAGTAGCGACTGTTTTCAGTCGATCAAAAGAAAAAGAAAACATATGAGCCAAAAAAGAATAAAGAAACTTTATATCAGTAACACATAAAAAGAATCGATCTTCTCACGCACACAATATACACCGGAGTTTTTTTTTACATATGATACGAATGAGTTAATCAGCTCCGATCAATGTCGATTGTGATGATGATGATGACGATTGATTATGAATATCGTTGAATTCTATAACTTCATTTGTCGATGTATTGTTATTGTTATTATTACTATGAATATTTTTATTTAATATTGTTGTTTGTTGAAGAAGAGATTGAGCTTGTTCTAAAGTATATTGAGCACTACGTGTACGTTGAAATGAACGTGTGTCATTATCTTCATTGGATATATTATGTGCTGGTGACCATTGCCATGATGTTTGCATTTGTTGTTTTAACCAATTAATAGCTGCTTCCCATTGAATAGCAGTTGAAGAAAAATAATCTTTACAAGCATTACTTCTACAAAAAACAAATAAAAGATTTCCTCTTTTTTTTTAAATCAAATGTCAAATAATAACTTAGAAGTAAAAAAAAGAGAAATATGAGTTTTTGAACGTACTGATTCGATAGAGTAATAAGAAATTTAACTGTTTGATACGCTCGTCGTTGTTCTGTTTCAATACTGGTTCGAATAAGTGAATAAAGTCCATTAAAATTTTGATTATTATCAGTATTAGAAGATTCATTAGTACCTTCAAATGCTAATTGAAGACGTTTTGTTTGAAATGAATCATCAATCAACTAAAATAAATAAGAAAATTTTGAAATTCATCTGAAATATACATGATAATATTAGAATTTCTAGTCTTGAACAACACAAGTTTTGTTAGATGAATGGGACTCGTTAAAATTTGCTGGAAATTCTTTTCTTTATTTATCAAACGAATGATTGATTTTTAGTTAAAAAAAAATGATATTGGTTGAGACATGACAACTTTTGTTTAATAATTTGTCTTCTTAAGTGTCCTATATTTTCCTATACTTTTCTCAATGACTGTAATAATTGTTCTATTTTTTTTTTTGAAGAATGTATATTGTTCAAAAAAATGGAGATTCTTCTGAAGAGACACTTACCCTAGAAAAAGAATGACTTTCATGTTGCTATAAATATTAACACGAGTATCAATAACACAACGCTCAGAGAGTAGCAGCAGAATGTGTATATTACTTATTCGTCATTTTCATTGAGATAATTAACTTATAATATGATTGACTATTTAAAGATTGTCACAAAAAAAAAAGATTATTCATTATATAGAGAAGTCATTTATAGTTATCAATACAATCAAGTTTAACTATGATTTCTAAAAAACTCATAAGAGAATTTTAATATTGGTTTTTAAATGCAATACGAACAGCTGGAGTGAAATAACTTGTAGCACTACGAATAACTAGATGTTATTGAAATGTGGATTTAAAAACCAACAGTGACAAAGGTATATAATTGTATGTCTTCGATAAAAACTGTCTAGTATCTGTCAACCTGAGATCGTCTACTAGTCTAATACTAAAAACTGAAGCACTTGTCTTGATGGATACCGTTTGAAAAAATTCGAATAAATGCATATAAGACAATCTCAAACATATTTAAACACAAGTTACATTTAAATATCGTTATTTCAACGCGTTTAAAATCAGTTTCATGGCCATATGACCAGTCGTCGAATACAGCTGTAAAGTTTGTAAGAACTTTGAACAGAAACCAATATCCTATATTTTCTTCTAATGAAGCTACGAAGTGAAATACTCATACTATCCTATATCTATAAATTGATAAAATGATATCATTAGAATTTTCTACTGCAAAAAAGTTGCTAAGAATTTTGTTTCTGTAATAAATTGATTTTCCTTAAAAAAAAAAAGTGATTAAAAGCAAACTCGAGTTTTATGAAGACAGATTTCTAAATGTATGTCTCTGTGTTCAATCGACTTTATATATCAATGTGTGAAGCTCGATGAGCTAATCACGATGACATAGAGCATTCTTTCCCATAAACTATCTCTTTAAGAGTTTAGGTCGGTCTTAACATCAGAAAAATAGTTGTAAACTGGTATTTTGAAAATCATAATTGTTATGTTAATTTAGTTCTCATCATTCAAAACTCTAACACGAGATACATCTTAATTGACTGTACACACTTACATAATCAAAATAAATACACGTTTTAACTATATCTATACTTTGAATATTTTTCTTAGATGTACGGAATTCAACACTATTTTTTCAACATTCATCTAATTTCAATTGTATGTGCATTTATTCATGACATGTTTCAATTATCTGCCTTATCTTTTTTTTCATTTTTCACATACACATACAAGAAAATAGTTACATAGACTGCAAACTATTGAAAACAAGATATCTGACGAAGTTTTAATTACCATGTCTTCAAAAATAATATTCCTAGAAAATCATGATGAATTATAAAAAAAAAGTTGACTTCCATACATCCACTGTATATATGGTATTGAAATATTCAAAGTATAGACGTAGTTAGAAATGCTATTGACGTTGAGATTGTATGGATGTGCACAGTCTAGTAAAGTGTATCTCTCCGTGTGAAAATTTTGAATGCTGAGAACTCAATTAATACAAAAATTAAAATTTCCAAAATAATAGCTTACAGTCAACTTTCTGAAGTCGAGATTGACCTAACTCCTCAAAGACAGGCTATAGAATAGAGCTCATCGGGTTGGCTCGATCTAAAATTTTTCTCTTAACCAGATCTGGATTCGCTAGAAATTAATATAAAGTTGATTGAAAACAAAGACTTACATTTAGAGATCTTCCCCTCGTTAGAGGTTTATTTAATAAACAAAAAAAAAAAATTTTTTTTAATTAACTTACTAATATACAGCTTAATAATTTAAATAATGATTTTAAATCATTTGTATGAGTTTGTACAATTGATTGTAAAATAATTCGAATAAATTGTTCAGAAAATTTGTCATTATTTTTTGCTAATTTTTCCATTAATTGTAATGTATGTATTAATTTTGTTGATGATACTTCTTGAAAAGCATAACATATTTCTTTTAAATATCTATTTGACCATTGTCCAATAAAATAAATATCCATTTGTTTAATTAATTCAAAATATTTTTTATGATTATTTTCATTAATTGAATAACAATATAAAGCTAAAATTGATAGAATTTCATGTATAATACCAAATTCTTTCGCTTGTTCACAATGCCATCTTCTATTATCAATATTTTCACCTAATAAAAAATTCATTAAACGTATAAATGTATTTAATTTTAATAAATATTCAATAGATATATTATTCATATTTGTATATATATAAATTAATTGAAAATAAACTTGTGAATGTTTAACTTGTTCAACAACTGATTTATCTAACAAACTAATTAATTGTTCAATAAATAATTCAATATATTTATTAATATTATATATATAACTTGATTGTAAAACATATTCACATATTTGTTCAAATATTTGTCTTATATCATCAATAGGACAATCAAGTAAATATAATTTTAAAATATCATCATTTTTTTCAAATAATAATTGATAAAAAATATGACATGATAAAGAATTTTTTGAAAATAAATTTTCTAATAATTCTATCCATTGTTGACAATTATCTTTACGTAAACGACGATGTGTTCGTAAATGTGTATTAAATAAAAAATTTAATGCTAATTTTGTACATAATTCATATGATAATGAATTATTATTATTAGATTCAATATTATTTAATTGAATATTATCATCAAAACATATATTTGATAATTTATATATAAATTGAAAATAATCATCACAATATGTATCACGATTTTTTAAAAATTCTAAATTTTCATCTTTAACACATGTAAGTACACGTGATGATATTAATGGTTTTTTTATTTTAAATAAATTATTATGTTCACTTTGAACAACTAAATCAGCTAATTGTGATAATGAATCACGTTGATTTGAATGATTTAAACGTGTATTACGTGTTGTTAAACGATTTGTATTTGGTGATGATGGTATAGATGGTGGTGGAAGTAATTTTAATGGTTCAATACATTGATAAATAAGTATATATGCATTCCAAAAACGTATACGTTCTTCATTTGAATTACTATTATTATCTTTTTGAACACGAAATGTTCCACCAAAACATTCTTCTTCAAGCATTTGTTCATTTAATTGAATTT